AATCTTTCTCGTTTTTCAAAAACAAAAAATTTCTTATTTCATTTAAAGCTAAAGCGTAGATACCTATTTTTTTCAATTTAAAATGTCTGAATTAGGAATTGATGTAGAAAGCCTCAAACGCAAAAGAGGCAGGCAAAAGGCTGTGATAACAAGAATTGAAAACTTTGTTCGACAAAATGTTGATGTTGCAAATATTGATGTTAATGATTTTGTTGTAAGGGAAGTGCAATTACACAAAGCTTATGCGTAATATCTAGAAGTACAAGATGATATTGAAGATGTTGACGAAACTCAATCTGCTGACAGAGATGAATTTGAAGGTAGATATTTTAATCTTGCAGCAAAGTTAAAATCTTTAATTCAAAGGTTTTCTCAGGTATCAATTAACTCGCCCATCCCACAACTTCTAGCCACACCACCTCTAGCCTTGCCTAATAGCCCACCAATTAACCCTCATTCAATCAAGTTAAGCTTCCTAGTTTAAATGTACCTACTTTTACAGGTCATTTCAAGGATTGGCCCGCTTTTAAAGATATTTTCTCTGCACTAATAGATTCAAATAAGAATCTCTCCCCTGTGCAAAAACTAATGTATTTGAAATCTGCTTTGAAAGGTGAACCATTGGGCCTTGTGAATAGTTTGTTAATGACCAACGAAAATTATGCAGTAGCAAACGAAATGTTGAACAAGCGATACGACAAAAAACTTTTGATTATTAATTCATTGTTGCAGGGTCTATTGGACGTCCCACATATTTCCAAAAATAATTGCACAGCCTTGAGGCAATTCATAACTCAGGTTAACAAAAATCTAAAGTCATTAGAAGCACTACAGGTCGATATCGAGAATTGGGATTTGCTTTTAATTTATATTTTCTCTAAACATTTAGATGCTACAACAAGGCAAGACTTTGAACTAGAGCGAGAAACAGACGATTTGCCTACATTGGACGAATTTATGGATTTTTTAGAAAGAAATTGCTCATCGTTAGAATCACTAACAGATAATTTCAATGCTGAAAATAAGTATTCTCAAAAAGGTTCACGAGTTCATGTCGCTCAAGAAACTGATACAAATAAATATATAGGTGGTTTTTATTGTAAATTCAAAAACCATAACATTTATAAATGCTCTTAATGTTTGAAAATGCCTGCTTCTCAAAGAAAACAGTTTGCTATGCAGAATAAATTGTGTTTTAACTGCCTCGGTAATAAGCACAATGTGTCTCAGTGTCCCTCGTCAAATTGCAGGATTTGTTCTGCAAGACACCACTCTCTGTTGCACGAATCTCGAGAGAGTGGAAGTACAATGCATCAAGTGCATGAGCCTTCACCCAAACCACCTGGTAATAATGTACAACCGAGTGTACAACCCAGTGCACAACCCAGAAATCCCCATGGTAGGCCTCACTCTCAGGATGCAAATAAACATGTTGTAGTAGAGCAGGCTGCGTTAGAGCTCTCTCAGGATAACGTCTCAGAAGACAATAATCCAAGCTCATGTCATTTGTCTCAAAGCTATTCTCAAATATTGCTTGCTACAGCAAAGGTGTTATTAGTTTCAGAAAATAGAACCAAAGTGCTTGCACGTGCGCTATTGGACTCCGCATCTCAAACGACTTTTATCACTTCACATATGTTTAAGAAGTTAGCATCGCCCTCGGTTAAAATTCATCTGCCAATTTCAGGAATAGGTAGCACTAGAACACAAGTGACTCACTCTGTGAAAGTAAATATTTTGTCTCGACACGAAAAGTTTTCTCTCTTTGCTCATTGTGCCATATTGGACAGAATTACGTCTGTGATTCCCCATGTCAGAGTGGACACAAGTAAATTGCCCTTGCCCCAAAACTTAAGGTTGGCTGATGAAGAATTTCATATTCCCGCACCTATAGATTTGTTAATAGGAGCAGATCTATATTATGAAATTATTACACCTGGTATTATTACTCTTGGCAAAAATCTGCCTACTATCCAAAATTCCCGATTAGGTTGGGTAATAGGTGGTCCAGTTCCCAGTGAGAACGCAGCGATGAATTCTCTTGTGAGCGTCTCTTTTGTTTTATTCTAGTCCTTCATTGGAAGAGTTTCTACCCAAATTTTGGAACTTAGAGGAGTACCCTCATAAAAGGTTTGTTTCTCCAGAAGATAAAAAATGTGAAAGTATCTTTCAGGAAACCACTAAACGATTGTCTGACGGTATGTTCCAAGTAAATTTGCCTTTTCAGGATGAAGGTGCCTCTGGACTCCTTGGTGATTCTTTCATGTTGGCTCGACAACGATTCTTTTCGCTTGAAAAAAGATTCCGTAGAGATAACGATTTATTCTTGCGTTATAAGGCCTTCATCGACGAATACCTGCTATTAAATCATGCGAAATATGTTCCCTTGAATGCATCTTCTAGTCCAATGCCGTATTTTCTTCCACACCATTGTGTAATTAAGGAGTCAAGCTCAACCACTAAAATTCGCGTGGTGTTTGACGGTTCGATGAAGACCACGAACGGCTTGTCTCTGAATGATGTAATGTTGAAGGGCCCCACAGTGCAACCTGACCTGGTTGATATTCTATGCAGATTTCGCACTTTTAAGTATGTTCTCACCACTGACATCGAGAAAATGTACCGTCAGGTACAAATCAACCCCGCCCAATTGCACTTACAAAACATCTTGTGGAGAGACAACCCTGATGAAGATTTGAGGTGTACCCAATTGCAAACCGTGACTTATGGGACAAAAGCGGCACCATATTTGGCAACAAGGTGTTTAGTTCAGTTAGCTCAAGACAATGCCCTCTCTTTTCCTCGTGCTTCGGATACCACTTTAAATTTATGTTGATGATATTTTGTCAGGCGCCAACTCTCAAGATGACTTGAAGAGACTCCGCACGGAACTCACTCTTATGTTGGAACAAGGTGGTTTCCATTTGCACAAATGGTGTTTCAATGAGCCCTCGATGTATACTAGTGCTGACTAGGGTTGATTCAGATGAAGTTTCGCTAAGGGAACCTCTGAGCAAGGTTCTGGGTATTGCTTGGAATTCTGTTGACGATTCCTTCAAGATAACTTGCTCGGTGCCCGATGATTCTGCTATTACAAAGCGTCAAGTCCTGTCCCAACTATCCCAAATGTTCGATCCATTAGGTTTGATTAGTCCTATAGTCATCTTGGCTAAAATCATCATGCAACAGCTATGGTTAAAAAAGGTTGGATTGGGATGATCCCCTGAGCTCAGATCTACTTGATGTTTGGAAACGGTTTTCAAACGGACTGAAGGATCTGCCCAACATATCCGTGCCAAGATGGTTACACACCTCAAGCGACATTTTGGATTTCGAATTGCAGGGGTTTTCGGACGCAAGTCTTCAAGCATATGGAGCTGCAATTTATTTACGTGTTATCTATAAGGATGGTTCCGTTTCTTCTCGTCTCATTTGCTCGAAATCAAGGGTAGCTCCCTTAAAGGCAGTCTCAGTTGCTCGCCTTGAACTTTGCGGAGCTGTTTTATTGGCTAAACTTGTTCACAGAATGAAATCAGTCTTCTCTTACTCATTTTCAAAAATTGCGCTTTGGACTGATTCTGAAATTGTTTTCAGCTGGTTGAATGACACTCCATCTAGATGGACAGTTTTTGTTGCAAATCGAGTCTCAGAGATTCACGAACTCAGCTCAATTTCTCAATGGCGTCACATCGACTCCAAATCCAATCCTGCAGACTTGATTTCTCGAGGTACAGACTCATCCACATTACTGAGCAGCGATTTGTGGTGGCATGGCCCATCCTTTTTGTCTGACCCTAACTTTATTGTTCAAAATGCGCCCTCTTTCTCTGAAATACGATCTCCTCCTGAACAAAGAACGGTCTCATATGTCGCAATACCTGAATTTTCTCTAAACTTTAAAAGATTCTCGAAATTAACAAGATTGCAGAGAACAATAGCTTTCGTTTTAAGATTTGTTAATAATTGCAAGAACGACTCGATTAAACTCGCAGGCCCATTGACCGTAGCAGAACTGCAAAAGTCCCTTAACGCAATTATTAAATGTATTCAAGCTGAATGCTTTGCATCTGAAATATTTAGAACAACTCGAAAATAAAATTCCTTTGAGGAATGGTTCAATTCAGCGTCTGTCTCCATTTTTAGATCACGATGGTATAATAAGGGTAGGAGGGAGGCTTCATAACGCCCCTATTCCATTTGAGCAAAAACATCCCATGTTACTACCTGCCAAGGTGCACGTTACTGGGTTGATCATTCAACATGAGCACATTAAACTGCATCATGCGGGTGCTCAAAGCGTACTTGCAAACTTGAGGCTGAGATATTGGCCGCTGAACGCTCTGGGACAAATCAAAAAGCACATCCACGCTTGCATAATATGTTTTAGACTTCGTAAAACCAAGTCGGAACAGCTTATGGGATCTCTTCCACCCGAACCTCGACCCGAACGTGTTGCTACAGTCAGACCTTTTCTGAATGTCGGTGTTGACTTTGGTGGACCTTTGATGGTGAAGGAATCTCGTTTAAGAAAATCTCCCTTATCAAAAGCATACCCCACATAGCATTCAATATATTTTGTATATACCTTAAAAGTCCATGATGTGTAAAATATATCGCCAACATGTTTTCTATATACACTGTATATCCTAAATTAACATCCTCTTACAAGTCTGCGAATGTATATGAAATGTATGTTCGATGTGGAAATTATATGCTTTCCGTCAAATAAATGTTTATTTGGTATATACATAGTATATACATAATGAACTTTGAACATTTTGCTAAAATTTACTTTCGCATGAGGGCGCTGTTGTATTACAGTGCTGCCAGACTCAACTGTTCTTCCCTTCAATTCAGATTTCGCAATAAGTTCAAGTAAATTTTGTTGAAATTTTTTGTTTTTGAATACTAAAAACTATTGTAGATCTTTGACATTTTTTTCTGCTAACCAAATTAGGGAAAATATCTAGTTTGAAATAAAGTTTTTCCAATTTTCAGGCTTTTGTTATAGGGTTAAGGGTTAAAGGAAAAAAAGATCTGGCAACAATGCCTGAGGCGTGCGCGTCCGTCGTCGTTCGTCGTTCTTTCGACTTTCCGTCCCCGTTCGGTTGTACCACGCCACCACGGCCATTTCTATTTTCTTCGTTTCCTCAATTACAATTTTTAATTTAAGTGCAATAATCGCATTATTCGCATTCACGCTAAGTATCCATAATCTCCAGTATATTCATTGAAAAATTCAAGTGAAAAGCCCTGTACTCTTTCTTTCACTGGTTACGGACAGGAATTTTGCCTGGCTGGGCTGGCGTCACTTTCTCTGTCCGCCATTATTGTCGTAGCTAGCTGAGCGTCATTGTGCATTTTCATTTTTTGTTCAACGGGAGTCGGGAGTGAGTGGAGTGTTTTGTTTTTTTTGGTAAGTTTTAAACTATTACTACTAGATACTTGAATTTTGAATTATCCCTTATTGTCTAATTACAATCTTTGGCACTGCGGCACAACCGAAACCATCAAAATTTCAAAACTAAGCTCAAAACCCGTTTACGATTTAGATAAATTTATTCTGGGAATGTAAAAATTTTGTGGCTATTTTGAACTTATTGTGGGTTTATCGTTTATCAAACAAATAGAATTAGATTGCATCGTGGGTGGCTAGATCAATCGCTTGTTAAGGCTTGTAAGTTAACAAGAACCTTAGAATGGGCCACACAGAAACAATGTCATATTGACATTGGCACATTCTAAGGTTTTTGTTTACTTAACAAGCCTTAACAAGCGATTGATCTAGCCACACTAATTAGATACGTCCAGAGCCAAAATTTGAATATACCTAGACTTTGCCTATGGGTTGGGTTTGGATACGATACAACAGTTCAGGGCTTGCCTCGGGGCTTACTAAGAAAATTGATACCACAATAATTATTGCTTATATTTCCAAGTTGTTCCCATATCATCACAAAAGATAGTTTTTTAATAGGTAGGTACCTACCATTGCCAAAAATACAACTTTCCTTTTGACTAGTAATTTTCTTCACATGTTGAATAATCTTTATTGAATGATTAGGTAGTTATAATTTTTACTTTTTTTATGTACCTACGGGTGTTTGCTTATAACTGGAACACTCACTAACTTTTTTATTACATTACCTATTGAAAATGGAGGGCATGTTCAAATTGGATTTTTTTTTGGTGAATTGCAAGGATCTGAAGCGCTACAACGATTTTTTTTCTCGCCATTGGTATAAAGGGTGCGCCAAAAAAAAATTTTTTTTATGGAATGCCCTGTATATTTTTTCATTTTTAATATTTAAAAAAAAATCAGCTTCACAAAAACAAAAATATCAATTACTATTTGGATATCTTTTGTAGTTCCCGAGATAATTGAGTTTAAAGTTTCAATAATTATTGCCAAAATAAAATATATTGGAAAGGATCAACCTTTCATTTTTTCAAGGCCACTAGGTTTTTGAGTTCATATTGCTGGAATTCATGGAATTGGACATAAAGAAATGACCCACTTAGTAGCTTGATCAGTTGCTCGTTTCCATTACATTTTATTTTGACAATAAGTATTCAATCTTAAAAGCCAAATATCTCGGGTACTAAAAAAGATCAAACTATAGCACCTAATTGATATATTTCCGTAAAGCTTATTTTTCAAGAATTCTAAGAATGCACAAATATACAGGGCGTTCCATTGAAAAAATTTTTTTTTTTTAGCGCACCCTGTATACCTATAGCAAGAAAAAAAATCGTTGCAGCGCTGGAGGTCATTGCAATTTACCAAGAAATTTTCCAATTTGTACATGCCCTCTATTTTCAATAATAAAAAAGTTACTGAGTGTTCCAGTTATAAAAAAACACCCTGTACCTAGGTATCCATGTTGACTTCAAATACTGAATATTTTACTTAGCTCTGGAAACCGAGTGAAAGAGCTGATTCTGAGTCACTTTGATTATTTTATCGTAACTATTAATGATCCATAATAGATAATTAAAAATCAAAATTAGCATGGGCCCAGTTGCCATATGCTAATCATGTCATAATGACAAGATAGTAAATTGAAAATAATTTTAAAAAATGCGGAAAAAGTAGATAATTTGGTTTGTGTGGATTGGTATTAAAAAAAATAATGTATAACGTCGAGTTTTTTAACTCAACCATTTTCCATAAGTGATTTATGCGCTTTATGTATTGAATGGAAAATAGTTCCATCAGGTCATTTAAAAATGCTCGTCGATGAATGCGCATAAGCATTATTGGTTGAATTTAAAAACTTGCCCGATATTTGAATATGAAGTAAATTAGGTATTTGTTTTTTTTGGCAGACTCCTAGATCAACAACAAGGTAATAACAATGCAACAAAACCACAAAAAAATATATTCGAAAAATTGTTTAAAAAGAAATGCATATCGTAAAGTTGCCAGAGATGTTGGCGATTCCATGTCTTTTATAGATTCTTCATTGGAAAACACACTATTCTTATCCATATCTTCACCAAGTCATCAAAATGCTGCAATATCTGCGCCTTTATTAGCAATAGAAAATAAAGTAGAAAATGCAGAGTCAATATGTCATATTTCCAGTGAATCTGAGAGTAAATCTGAAAATGAATGTAACGATGAGAATTTTCTATCTAACAATAATTGTTATGATGAGAATGAAGTAATTTCAGAAAATTCCGAGGGGAATTCTAGTATGTTTTCAGTCACTACAACAAAGGAGGCAGAAAAAGTAAACAAACTAACCACCATTTCCAATGAAAAAAAATTGAGTTTTCATAGCCAATTAGGTCGCTGGGCAACTGAAGAAAATATTTCCCTAGCTTCTCTTGGAAAATTATTAAAGATTTTGCGATTAAGTTCGAGTGAAGATTTAAAACACCTTCCAGTTGATCCCCGAACTCTACTGGGCACGCAAAAAAACACGAATTGTAAAAAACTTGGTTCAGGAAGTTATTTTTATTTCGGAATTGAAAATGCAATAAATGATTTATTTATTAAATTCAACATTAATCCCACTGATACCAGTGTAATTGAAATTGCTGTTAATATTGATGGATTACCCCTCTATAAAAGTACTGGAGAATCCTTTTGGCCCATATTATGTTTAGTTAAATCTGTTGACGTACTTGATAAAGTAGTTTTCTTGGTGGCACTTTTTCAGGGTCCTCAAAAACCCCCAGCAAATGATTTGATATTTGATTTTGTGTCAGAGAGTTCAAGTTTAGTGAACAATGGCATTAAAATAGGATCTTTTGTTGTCCCATTTCGAGTACAAATGCTTATTTGTGATATGCCTGCAAAATCCTATGTTTTGGCGGTTAAAGGCCACAGCGGGTATTTTTCGTGCACGAAATGTTGCACTGAAGGAACTATTTATGATGGTGTTGTCTGTTTTAACGAAACTCAATACCAGAAACGTACTGATGCTGATTTTAGATCTAAAAAGCAAGAGGAACATCATGTAGGATATACATTATTAGAAAATATTCCCAAATTTGACCTAATTGAGGACGTCCCTCTCGATTATATGCATTGCATTCTTTTGGGAGTCACAAAAAGAATATTTTGTCAGAAGAAATATGGGCTAATATTTGGAAAGCCACCTTTCAAGTTGCCCGCTCGAAAAGTATTATTATTAAATAAAAATTTAAAATACCTGAAAAAGTTCATACCTTTTGAATTTTCTCGTAGAAAAACTCGAAATATAACTGAAGTCAAGCGATATAAGGCTACAGAATTTCGTTTACTTTTATTGTATACCGGAGCAATTGTATTAAAAAATGTTGTCTCCAAAAAAATTTACTCTTTATTTTTAATGCTAGCCATGGCTACTTTAATTTTAGTTAGCAATGAACTTGCCACAAGAAAAGACTTTGTTGAATTTGCAGCATCTTTGCTTGAACATTTTATTATGAATTGTGAAAAAGTTTACGGCTTGGGTTTCTTATCTTTGAATGTACATAGTCTTCTGCATATAACTGATTTTGTTTCTCGTTTTGGAAATCTTGACAAATTCAGCTCTTTTCCGTTTGAAAACTACATGCAACAACTGAAAAAGAAAATTCGCAAGACATCACAGCCAATACAACAAGTGATTAAAAGAATTTCTGAAGAAAATTTTTTTTTTAATCCAGTTGTTATCGAATCTTTGAGTAATAAATTTTCTATAGAGCATAGCAGTGGACCGTTACTACCTGGTTTGACTAGTCCGCAGTATGAAAAATTTTCAGCAAAACATTTTCTAATCAACGTCAACAAATTTGGTGATAGATTTGCACAGCTACATGACGATTCAATTATAGAAATTAAAAACTTTGCGACAAATGCAAACTCTGCAGTTCATGTAATTGGTTTTCTGTATAAACCTGATAATGATTTTTTTTCTAAACCCTTTCCATCTTCATTTGTCAACATTTTTTGCATAAAAAAAAGAAGTGAGTTGAGATCCTGGGACATAAGCGCTATTAAAAAAAAAGTTATAATCCTACCATTTGAAAAAAAGTTGGTGTGTTTTCCAATGTCACATCTGTAAGTTACTATTACTATGTATCTAATAGATTATCTATAGTATAATCATTTGATTAACTGTTTCGAAACTCTTCATAAATAACTGCAAAATGTGGTACGTCGTTGTATTTACACAAGAGAATACTGTATCAGTTGTACCAGCCTCTTGGTATGTAGAACTGAGTGGAGAATGCTTTTGGCCCCCTTCAAAAATAAAGAGGAATACCCTCGAAAAGTTGATCAAACGCAAAGAACTCCCAGAGAATGACTGGAAGGCTTTTAAGGCAAAAATTTTAACCAAATGTGGTAAGATAAAACCTATAATTATTGTATATTTTTGTTGTTAAAATAAAATTCGAATTTCTAGAGGATTACAAACAAGCTTTATCTAAGGTCCATAAGGCATATGAGAAGGATAAATTGTCAACAACCGATGAAAATGAAAATGTTGGAAAGGGAAAGCGAAAAAGAAAACCACATACCTACAGGAACTTTCATTATAGTTCGTCTGAAGCTGATGAAAGCGGTTCTTCAGATAATTCTCTGTCATTCCCAGAATTTGGTGCTAGCACCCCAGGACCGAGTGGACTTTCTCAAGCACAAGGTATTACAGATTACAGTCTATTTCATTTTTGATGGAATAGTTTTTTTTTTAGATGATAACGATACAAGTTACGAAGAAGACACTTCTCGAAAGCAGTTAAGCATTGGCAGCAGGTCTTCACAACAAAACCGGTAGGTATTTGTAATGCTAAAGTGAGCTCTAGCTTCACAGAAGTAATATAAATTATTTTAGTTCATTGATGGAAAAAGAAAATCGTCAACCAAACAAAAAAACCAAGAAGAGATCAAGATCTCTAGAAGACTATAGGTACCTACTGTATATTATTATTGTTTTAGGTTGAATGCAACTCCTAATTTAATTTTTAGAACCTCCCAGATACAAAATTGTTCAGAGCGAAGAACAGATGAAGAAAGTAAATTAGCAATAAAATAATAATTAACATAGAAAAAATACAATAATTTTAATCAATTTTCAGGAAGTTCTTCTGGATCACAACTGAAAAATTTCCTGAATCGGCCAACCAGAACCTCTGAACCTAATGATGTACTTCCTGAAAGGTGAATAAACATTTTTGAATGTTTTGAAATTAACATTTTTCCCGATTTCAGAAATTTGAAGTTTCATCAAGATAATTTGTCCGTGCCAGAAACACAAAAACATGGAGAATCTGCTACAGTAGATAATTCTGCTGATAAAATTTTGAAAGTATTAAAACAAATGCACGCTAATTCATCAGGTGAGTTTCTATGTAGACAAAAATTAACTTTTTTCTAATATTTCAATCTTTCATTTGTGTAGAATTCAGGGTGCAAGTTTTAAGGAAACTAAAAATACTAAATTTGAAGATAAATGAACTCGGAACATCAATTGAAAAATTGGAAAGTGGTGATAACATCAACCAGTTAGATCAAAATTTGGATAATGAATTTATTGATCTATTTCCCTTGGACATTGAAAAACTTAATAGCCTTGAAAATCGTTTGAATAACGAAATTGAAATGAAGAAAATGGTGAGCCTTATTAATTTATATTAATTTATGTTGATAAATGTATTATTTCTGATATTTTAGATAAAGTATTTAAGTCGAGTTGGAGGCAGTGATGTACCTGAAATTGTAAAACGATTGATGTATAAATTGTTAACAAATGAAGTTGGAAATTTATTCAGTTGGGATGGAGCCAAAGGAAAGAGAAAATTCAAATGTTTAAAGTTAGCCAATGTCATTTTAGGTATGCCAATGTGTAAGAATATATGTAATATGTCTGGTAATACTAAATATTATTTCGTTTCTAGATACTGTGCGAGCTAACAATCACACTAAAAATGCCACAGAAGCCGATATTATTGTCTACATAAAAAAATGGTTGGTGCGATCAAAGGATCGCATGCATCTGGAAGATAAGCGAAGAAGGTTAGTTTTGAAAATATTGTTGCCTAGTATTGTTCATATGTTGTTGAGCCCTTAAATGAGAAAATATATTCATTTATTTTCTTAGATGAAATTTTCTTCAGTTTATTTATTTTTAGACGGAATGAAAATCAGGAAGAAGAGGACGGAAATCAGGAAGAAGAGGACGGAAATGATACTATGTAAATTCGCATAGCATAAATCTTTAGTTTATTATTATACATCAAATTCTAAAGTTCATTATTATGTAATTGGGTTTTTTTATAATATTGATAATGATTATTTTGCTTACTCTGTCCAGTTGCTGGAAGACAAATTAGCATGGATGCAATTCGAGCCAGAAAAATCATGAATTCAGGTAGTGCCTGAATTGCATGAATGCAGATTTGTCAGAAAGTAAACCGAACATTGTTTTTCTCATGAATGAATCTTTCTTTTGTAAAATGTAAAAAAAACAAATAAATGGTCTCAAAAAAATGTTCGTTATAATTTCTTCCTCTCATGACGTTTTTTACAAGTAAGTATGTATCTGAGAAAGGGACTATCAAATGCCTGATAATTTTAAGACCATTTTTTTTTCAGTTGCGCTGGCTGGTAAGAAGTACAGGTAAGAAAGCAACGTGCTTTTGATTGTCATAAAATTATCCCGAGCATGTAATGTCCTAGGGATAATATATCTGACAACGACCAAAGCGGAGGTTTCCTGGGACTGTCGGTCAGCGGAATTCGGTTCAGATAGAATGTGTATGACTAAATTACAGTTTAATTTGTTCCATACGCATTCTATCTGAACCAAAATCCGCCACGGACAGTCATGGGAAGCCGCAGCTAAAAAAAACGAATTCACGAAAAGAATATTCATTGCAGAAACGCGTTTAATATATAATGGAGGTATAATGTATATAAAAGACATAAGGCGAATATCCATCAAATCTAGGCTAGTATATGCCCCCAATATACACGAATATCCAGGATATGCGATGTATATACCTTATGTACATACTATGTATAATGTATTTTGTGACAAATATATATCCGTAAAACATGAAATGAATATACTTGACATTAAAAATGGAGATTCTGTGTATATGCACAGGTTTATTGTGAATATACATAAAATCTGCATCAAATAAACTTTTGCTATGTGGGACATAGCACTTTTCGTGTGTATGAACACAAAAGCCGTTCATCTTGAACTTGTTTCAAGTTTATCATCAGATGCCTTTTTACTCACTTTGAGAGGTTCATCGCTAGACGAGGGAAACCAGCTGTAATATTTAGCGACAACGCCACTAATTTTCATGGAGCCTATAACTCACTTCACGAAGTTTATAATTTTTTCAAATCTCCGACAAATTTAAATATAATCACCGACAACCTGTCATCCGAGGAAGTTCAGTGGAAGTTTATTCCGCCTTCAAGCCCTCACTGGGGTGGACTTTGGGAGGCAGGCATAAAATCAACCAAATTTCATCTGCGGAGAATTATTGGTAAAACAATATTAACATTCGAGCAATTGACTACGGTCTTAGCGCAAATAGAAAGTATTCTCAACTCTCGACCTCTATGTCCTGCTTCAACTGATTCGTCTGACCTCACATGCCTTACACCTGGTCATTTTATAATAGGCCAACCTCTTACATCTTTTCCTGAAAAAAATGTGTCTTCAGTCCCTGACAACCGACTTTCGTTTTGGGAACAATGTTCCAAAATTAGGTCACTTTTTTGGAAGAGATATTAGGCAATTCAAACCACGTGACAATCAAAATGGCGTGGCGGCCACACATGAGCCAAAAAACACAAAAAAATATCTAGTTTCTACCCGATTTAATAATTCAGGTTCCTAGTCAACAAATATTTTATTAAATAATCAAAATCAAAGTTGCAAACCAAACTCTAAGCAAAATAATTTAAAATAAGCATAAAAAAATAATCAAAACAGACTTGCTTGGCCGCCACGCCATATTAAATTTTCCATTTTGACAGATGGATTGAATTGCCTAATTCTACTGAATATCTGAACAGGTTACAACATAAGCCCAAATGGATCAAACCCGCATCCAATTTGAAGGTCGGCATGCTGGTGTTACTGAAAGAAGATAATACACCCCCTCTGGACTGGATGCTGGGTCGGATTCAGAGGGTAATGACTGGTCCAGATGGCAAGGTTAGAGTGGCCGAGGTGAGAACACAAACCGGCTGTTTTGTTAGGCCTATTACAAAATTGGCTCCGTTGCCTTTTGATTAAGTTGAAGGCGAGACTTCAACTGGGGGGGAGGATGTTTAGATTTCTTTAATAACTCAGACATTTGTTGCACGTCATCGACGGTCCATAACACGCCCTATGTTATCGAACGCCCCATGTTATCGAACGCCCCTCAAAAAATAGACAAATGAATATAACCCAACACTTTTTATGACAGTTTCGGTCTGGAAGATTCGATTCCAGTTTCATCCAGTTTTACACACTCAGCGCAACACACAAAACATCCCCCCTTAGAAAGGTAAGTGCCGTGTTGAGAACCTGTCTATAAGTTTTCAACGCCTCTAGTGACTGGAGGGGTAAGCTTTTGTAATTCTGGATTTATTGGCGAATGCAAAACGCAATTAGGGTTCGTTCGGTATCTTATTTGTTCCGGTGGATCGTTTGCACCATTGTTTGATTCTAGCGATTCAACACCACCACTTTAAAGTTTCTACCATTTTTTGGCATAAAATAATTGTGCCAAAAAGAAGAAACTCATAAAATCGGTAGTGTTGAAGCGCCTTCAAGGTAAAATTGACTAAAAATTAAGATGACAAATTTAGATATTTATTAAAGTTTGAAACAGAAAATATTAAAGAATATTGAATTAATTACAATTATTGCGAAACAGTTTTTTTTCATGTAAGTATACATACATAGGTAGGTAATGCTAGTTAAGTTAAAGATAATAAGGACAGTTACAAGAAGTAATGACGTACATTTAACAATAGCTTGATGAAAAACTTAAATCGTAAATAAAATGACAAAAGAGGTCCTTTTCTCACAATCCAAAATCGTTGTTAACCTAACAAGTGAGGAAAGTGTTTCTGCACGTGATGGAAGTTGCACGAATGACAACAAAAAGCAGAGTTCAAACAAGCCTTTAAGTCCAGAAAATACACTTTCCGCATGTGTTAGGTAGAAAGTTTATGTAGTTATACATAATATAAAGCTCATTCAAGAAAATGATTTCGCCTGGATGATAGAATAAATATTTTTGATAATAGTCTATACCCTTTACCACTAGCTTTAAGCAAAGACAACGCCAACAACTTCTCGTCCAATGTAAATCGTCTAGCTTTAGGCTTTTGGTTTTGAGTACGGACTTGGCTTAAAATAAAGCTGTATATCAATGGATTGACGTGGTCTACGAGCCTTTGAAATTTGGTTTATGATGCAAGTTATTCAGCAGTAGAAACTTTGGATTTAAATGACGACAACCTTCTACTGATTCTTCTTAACTTATTGCTGGATTCTATAACTTTGGAATAAAGATATTTTTGCCCTTGGGGATAGGAATTTTTTGCCTAGTGACGTTAATGTTCTTTAAAATTTGGCATCGTCTCTCATGACCTGCAAAAAAAAAATAGATCAAGATTGGAGACGAGCTTTTCGCACATTTAGCTTCTAATTTTTCTAGCATTCGACTGCAAGTTTTAGTAATTAGTAGTCTTTTATAGTAGTAGTCCTACTTGAGTTAGGATGTTTTAAAATTCACCTACTCCCAACTGGGTGGTTATTCATTAAGCAATAACAGTTAGGTACCTACCAATAAAAGTTTTAAGAGACAAAGTGGGTTGGTGACTTTTTCATGTTTGCAGATGTGATGGTTCCACTTGGTGTAGCAATGTCTGCCCGAATTGCAGAAGTTTCAGTAGATAAAAATTGACGACATGACGGGCCTGGTTGATCTAAAACACAAATTTCGTTACCAACGATTCTACCAAAAAAGTTTGGATACATGCATATTAGAATATGGTGTACCTGTATGTAACTAGGAATATTTTAATTATTGTGTCTCCTGATAAAGGAATAAACATTTAAAAAAAAGAAATGAATAATATTAGCTTTGTTCCAACACAGCAGAAAACCGTACAATGTACCGTCACGATTCTGCGCAGAAACTAAAATTGTTATACTGAGTGGTTTCGAAACCGTTCATGGGACGATTTTTTGACGTGTTGGAACAGAGTTATTATGTTTACCTACCTATGTCAATCATAGTTGCGAAACTAATTTCTGAAGGCGTCTTAGGACTCTTCGACGAGTTTCAACTGTGTCGATCTCCACTTTTTGCCATTTTGGTGATTGTGGTTTATCAATTAACGACTCCTCACTGTTTTTGATAATTGGGGCTAAAATTAAAATTAATTTTAATGTTTCTGACCTATGCTCCTTTAAACCCGAATTCTAACACGTTGTCGTTAATCAGAACTATGGGGAGGAGTAAGTGAAAATGTAAGTACGTCTTTCTCACATATATCTAGTATTAACTTACCTTCAGGGAGATACAGCAAAAGCGCAGCATTCCATGTGAGTCCTCGTCTGGCTTTTGGATCGCCAACAATAAATTCTCGAGGAAAATGTCTTGTTCACGCTCTATAATTATTATAAGCCTTCTCGACACTGAGGCTATTTAGTAAAGGATTGCGAACTTTTTCTAGCCATTGTTTCATTTTTTCGGCATCTTTTGGAAACCGGAAATAGCTGCTGTAGCATTTCTGATGCTTTTCAATTAACAAACTGGGAGAAGACATTTTGAGATAATAATTATTGTTAATTGATAGGTAATTGATAATTCTAAATGTTGGGAGAAATTCAAAATTTAAATTTTGACGACTGGAAATGACAAAATAAACTTCAAATCTTGGCGCACGGTCCGGCAGGAAAAAGAAAACTTTAATAGGTTGATTGAAGCGCCTCTAGTGATTGGAGGGGAAAGCTGAAACGACTAGACTGACGTCTCTCATAAGACTTACATTTCTAAGGGGGGATCAACAAGTTCCGTGTCAATGCACTTCCTCCACGTGGTTGAAAAACAACACTGTTAATTGCTATAATTAATTTAATCGTAATCTTGTACTGTTCGTCTTTGTTAATCCGTTTGTTTGCGGTAGTAAAAGTGTTTTGAGTTGGAATTAAAACGATTAAAAACTAACCGCGTTCGAGTTTTATTAAAACCACCCAAGGTCTATCTGGTCCACTCTATCGAAGGAACTCTAAAATCCCCACAACATCATTAACATCAAATGATAGCAAGGCAAAAAGAAATTTTCTCTACAGCATAGTTAAAGCTAATACAGAGGAAAACAATTCCACAAAACACCCCCCCTTAGAAGAAACTCTACGTTCAACAATGGGACTGATAAAAGCGCCATCTTTCGACTGACCGCATAACTATTTTGCATATGGCGGGCGCGGGAATTTGAATTTGAATATTTTTTTTGATTTAAGCTTTTCTCGGATTCAAAAAAAGGACCGTTCTAGAACGGTTCAAAACAATCGCACAGTTTATTATTAAAATTTGTGATAGCCGATCCCCGAGATGTTGTCATTTTGTTGATTCATAAACCGTGTGATTGTTTTGAATCATTCTAGATAGAATCGTCCTTTTTTCAAACCCGAAAAAAAGCTTTCAAACAAAGTTTGGGTATTTTAGGTTTCTAATGATGGACAATTACTTTAAAACTTAAATGTAGGACGAGCAGTTTGCAATTTTCCTGTTTTTGACAAAGACTAAAATCGAAAAATTGCAAGTCATATTCATACATATTATCAATTTTTAAGTAAAAACCACCATACAGAAACAGTACTAACAAGTAAAACATATTTAAAATTTTATTATAACAACTAGTAATTATAAATTTACAATAGATTATTACAAAAAAAGGTTATAAATATTTCTATACATATATAATACCAAAATATTTTACTAATAAATACATAAAGAAATACCTATATAATACATAAATGAACTGCCAGATGTTAGGTGTCGGAAAGGCACTTTCCGCAACAGTTAAGAACATTATTTCATACACTTTAGGTATTGAAAATAAATTTT